GTCCCACCCCTCATTCCTCCCTCCCTCCCTCTCTCCCTTCCTCCCTCCCTGTGTGCGCGCCGGCGGCGGCGGCGCCGCGCTCCCTCAGCCGCGCCCGCGCAGCCCCCTCAGGTAAGCGCAGCGCGGCGGGCGGGGGGCGGAGCGGGGCGGGGGTCCCGCCGTTCTCGCCCGCGGAAAGGTGCTCGCTTCCCGCTCCCCGAGGGCTCCGTGCCCACGGCGCCTTTCCTCTCCTCTCTTTGCCTTTTCCTCTCGCGTTTCTGAACCTGGGCTGAGCCCCGCGGCGCGGGTCCTGCCCGCACACCCCGCGCGTTGGCGGGGAGCCCTCTCCGGACAAGGGCTCATTCGGAATGGGCTCGAGTGGACTGCAGGCTGCTATTCCTGCTGGACTAACGCCTCCGGGATTGGCCTGGAATAAGTGATGGGCACTTGTTTGATTAAGGGACACTAACACGACTTATTTAGGGTCTGCCCTCTTTTTTTTTTTTTTTTTTTTTTTTTTTTTCCTCGCCTTCCACAAAACTCCCCCATCCCCCATCCAAAATCCTTTTGGATTTATTTCTACCAAATTAAGGCAGTGGAAAAAGTCCGAGATTAAAAAAAAAAATGGTTGCCACCTCTTTCCCCTGACTTCCTCAGTCCTTCGGACGAAGAGTCTGCGAAAGTCCGATGGGAGCAGTCTCGGTGTGTCCGAGGTGTTTACAAAGGTAAAGGACAGGGAGAAGATGAATGGCAAGCAAAAGGTTATGCATTCTTGAGAAAGACCGGGAGCGAGGAGAACAGGAGGGAAACTAGAAGACAAAAGCCGTCAAAAGCCGTTAGCAAACTGAAGTGAGAAGACAGAGGTGGAACCAGAGGGACCAAGTTTCTTCCTCTCACTTCTTTCCCTCTGTTCTTTTTAAATATCTTCACAGTGGGAACTATCCCAAATAACTGCTTTCTTCGGAAATATGTGAAAAGTTTTTGTTATCAGAAAAATGTTGGAATGTCYAGATTTAATTTTCTTGTGGATTTCTCTGTGAAGCAACACTTTCATGATTTCAGTTGTCTATGAGCGTTAGAAGCTGCTCAAATGTCCCCTTTCTTCTTTTTTTTTACCCATCCTTATTTGATCTAAGTTTGAGTTGGTTGTTTGTGTGGGGTTTTTTTTGGTTGTTGCTGTTTCTTCTTTGGTTGTTTTTTTGTTTGGTTTGGGGTTTTTGAAGTTTCAAGGCAAAATAACTTCGGGGAGCCCCTGTAGGCAACTTGTGTTCTCAAAGTGTGTGGAAATTGGAGTAACTGAACCTTTTTACTGCTAAAAACCTCTGCAGCTCTTATCTTTTCAAAGAAAGTTTTTGCATGCTAAGTGAGTTTTGGTGTGTAGTACCATTTGGTCTAAAATGAATYACTCTCAGGTCTGGGAGTCATGTTTCAATTTGGCGGCCAGGGCTGTGTGCCATGCAGCCTGTTACTCTGGTGTGAGGATGGGGTGTACTGCAGTACTAAAAAAATATTTCTGGTGATTCCAGCAGCGGGCTGAAGTGATACTCTGTGTGCACGGGCGTAAGTGAAGCTCTGCCCTGCAGCTCGCTATTACTGGCTATAGGCGTGCCACATGTTTTTCCTTAACTGATATGTGCTCGGACTTACAAAGCAACTTGATAGGCCTGTGTTTTACTGTTGTTTTTATTAAATATTAACCCCACAAAATCAAAAGCTCTCTTGCTCCAGAAGATTGACATCACCTCATCCTGTGCAGTTGTGCACGAGCAGTGGCTGTTTTCCTTTTTGTGCAGTAAATAGCCAAGGAATTGTTATTTAGGAAGACTGAGAAGCACTATTGCATGATCATTATGGAGTTGTCCTTATCACTCCCTATTGCAGATTGCACTAGTTAGACCCTTGGCTGCTGCAAACTTTTTTCTGAGAACTTAGCAGTAGCAGTGCTGGTTGGGGAGAGGAAAACATTGGCTGGTGTCTGCTTTCTCTTCCTTCGCTCTTCAAAACAAATATTGAGGGTCGAAAGGTTAAACAGCTTTTGAGACGAAACACATGGAAAATGCAAAATTAAAGTAATGCTACACTAATGTGTACCCAGCTTTAATATGTGAGCTCCACATGTGAGTAACAGACAATCTTAACAGACAATCTTATCACTGTGTGCAAAAATACTTTATGGTCATGTGGTTTCCATCAGTAACTCTGAAAGATTGTAACTAAAATATAATTCCTWCTCTGCTTAAAAATGGGAGAAAATGAAAATCTGTGTGTAACTTGGTCTTGTCGTGTAACACGGTGAAACTATTTGGGGAATTCAGAAGAGGSTGTTGGAAGTGTTTTGCTCTGGAGTAGAAACTTGGGTAGTACTTACATGGAGTTCACTTTTACATCACTGTGATGAGCCCTTAAGAACACCTTAATGAATAATTGGCTGTTTCTCAGTAGCCTCCCCATACTGAGCTTGCTTTGTCTGATATCCAGAGGCTTAAATTAAAAGGCGAACAATTCTTCTGAGCAGTATATTTCTTTGGGAGACCACCACCACCTTTCCTTTTAGTACCCAGCTGTGTGAGTGCTCTCAGAGGTGAGCTGCCTTCTCCAGATGTCAGAGGAGCTGGCTTTGAGCACCTCTAGGTGGTGACCTGCCAGCACTTACTGAGCACTGTTGCTATGTATCTGGCTTTTTTATCCCATGGATGCAGAGGAAAATTGAGTGCTGCTCTTTTGCTATCATGGCTGAGTGGGGAACTCTTCACAGCCATCGCTTATGGTCTTGGTGGTGTCCAAGTATACATGGAAGGATATGAGAGTGGGAACAGGTTGTGTGGCATTTGTCCGTTTCACCATGGTTTCCCTCCCAAAATTAGGATTGTCTACATAAGCAYGGTTTCCTCCCTTTCAGAAAATAAAGTGCATGCAATTTAAGGGTCACTTAAATTCAGCTGAAATTGTATTTTTTTTAGAGCAGCTGCTACACTTAATGCCAGGGAAGGATGCACAGAACTTTTTTTACTGAAAGGAGGATGGAACAATCAATATTTGATCCCTCCAGCATCTTTAGTTTCTGAATTAGTTCTTTATATGTTGCGCATTTCACTGCTTCATCTTTCACAATGGGCTCTATTATTTTTTTCTAACAATTTAGTAGTGTGAAAACAAAACCAACTTTTGAGAAAAGAAACTGTGTTTTTTCTGTTTCCATCTTCCCATGTTCTTTTCTTTAAGTTTGCTTTCCATTTAGGTATGGTCTTCATTTATTGCCTTAGGCTTTTTGATAATTTGAAGGGAGAACTCTGCTCTCCACAAATCCTTGATCGTGAAGGACTTCAGGCAATAATGGCTTGAACTGGCAGTGATTATGTAGCATCCAATGTGTTTTGGCCTTTCTCTACCAGGTGTCACAAGGTGATACTGCAGAGGTGTAGTTGTGGTGCATTGGGGCTGAACTTATACATTTCATGTTTTCCCTCACATGTTTTTCTTCACAGCCAAAGTAAAAGCTTAAGGCTTCATCCATGACCCATGGATGTCAMTGGTAACATCTGAATTGGCACTGAGTGACTTTGGATCAGGAGCAAGGTTGTGTTGCTTTGACAGAAATACAAAATTATTCCCAGGGCAGAAGAAAGCTCTGYCTAGGAAATGAGAGCTGCTGTTTTACTTACATTTCAGGGAACCTGAATTTTKGTTTTCTTCATTTGTATTTCAAGTTTAGTTTCTTTAAAACATGTAGACGCATTGCTTGTGCATCCTTGCTCCTTCGCTGATGTACTGATACATGTGACAGTGAACATCTGAATGTCTGGTGCCTGGCTTTGATTTTATTGGAAGTCGAGGAGAATTCTAAGAAGTGCCTCTCTTTGTGTACCCAGACCTTCTCTCATCCATTGGTGTTCCTCGACTGCCTGACACTCTTCCCATAYTCCCAAGCTGATTACAGCACACCTGGCTTGCAAAATCTTGGTAATTGTTAGGCTGAAGGTTGCACTCTAGGATCAATTTCCATTTTTTAATGACTGGTGTCTCTTATTCTTGAAAGTACTCTTTCTATTTGTACAACATTGAGCATCAGAAAAGAAAAGAGCCTGTGTGCTGGTGATGGTTGAGTGTGTGTATGTGTCCCCATCCCACATGGCAACTCCATGATCACTGTGTTTTTCTTACAAGCTCTTGACAAAGACCTTTTGAGGTGGTTAAAGCATTKTATTTCAGTACAGAGGAACAATAGTCTTGCTTGGATTAGTGCAAAGTGTCCAGAATTTCCTGATAGGCACAGCCTGGTGTAGTCTGTTGACCTGTTTTTTTCAGTCCTGTATCTACTTCCTGCTGGATCTGGCTCCTTGACCCAGATATTRTAGGCAGTTAGGTTGGTGCATGGAAAGAAGGAAGCACTGGTGCATTTACCCCATAAGTAAAGAGGTATTTCTCCTTAAAAAACAAGTTAATCTTCTCCCTCTGCTTCTGGCCGACAAAAACAGCCACAGACTTGCGTGGCTGCTGTGGTTCAAGGAGTCTGGGCAAGGCATGCCTGCCCCTGCCAGAGAGGGGGAACCACATCCCTCCTCCTCCAGCCACTCCCAGGATGAATAGCCCGGACAGGGTTCTGGCCTGGGGTGTGGTGAGATGTTTTACTTTCCAAARGCCTTGAAGATTTGTGCTGGTGAGCTCTGTGGTGGATAATGGCCTGGCTGCTAGTCCTGCAGGGGAGACGGCAGCAAAGTGTTGCGCCTTGCTGCTTCCCACTCGCACGTTGGTGGTAAGTGGTGTGCATCAGTGGCACAAGAAATGCCTTCAGCTGCAAAAGTGGGMAGGCTGTATCTCTTTTAGAAGGAAACGTATTTTGGAAGCACAGATACTGTGTTGCTGAAAACTGTATGTAGACTTTTGTGCCAACAAAATTGTCTTTATTTCAGATTTCTTTGATTTGAGAGGCATTGGAGCTGTTTCTTTTTTTTTTTTCTGCTTCCGTGTGGCATACTCTAGATAAAATTTAGAGGTGCTTTCATTTTCTTATTAAAAATACAAAGGTGTTAAATATGAGAGCCCAAGATTATGGTTCTGCTTTTGCTTTTGACTGTGACTAAGAGGCAAACACCTCCTGAAGTGGATTTTCGAGACAGATGAAAAAAATGCCA